ACAATTGTGGAGTCTTCTGGTGGTTTGGAAAGGGGATTGGGCACAAAGAAGGTGCCAAAGTGGAAAAAGATGGCGTCGGGTCCGAGTAACGGGAAGAGGGGCGAAGAGGGGCTCCAGGTTCCCCAAGGTTTTGTGCCGACCGAGCGTGCGGAAGATTTGACAAAGACTTGGGAGGAGCTGAAAAGCTTGAAGGAGAAGAAACTCTCGTACGAGTCCTATCTTCCAATGAGTTGTTTGAAGAGGCCGCCCCTCGTGAATGGGAAAAGACCGTTGGAGGTGCGAGACTTAGACGAGGATCATGTGCAGTCCATCATGGACTCTATGCTGAAACATCCAACTGGGGATCATCTTCCCTTCGTCGGCCTCATCGACCCTGGCCAAGCCAGTCGCAAAGAAGAGGTGGATCTAGCGGCGCTGAGAAATGGCCACTACGACATTTTCGTCCTTGGTGGCAACCACAGTCGGGAGGCTAGGGAACGGTTGTCATGCATGAACCCCGACAACAACGACTACAAGCAATGTCTGCTATGTTTACGTTGGCCTCACGGTCGACGAGGCGAGGCAGGTCGCCCACATGCACAACCTCGCCGCCGGCTACCACCGGGACTACAGCTTCATCAAGAAGCTCAGGTGTTGGCGACAAGTCTTTGAGTGCATGGGGTCCGTCAAGTCGGCAGAAGTTAAACTCTTTTGCCTGAAAGAAGCTATGATTCCGAACGCGGCGAAGAAATTGGGAGCCCAAGATGCGTTGCTGCAGTGTGCTTTCAAGCCCAAAGAAATTTGGGACCTCATGTGCAAGATAATGAATATGTGGCAGAAGGGTGAGGTCAAAGGCCAGAAATTGAAGCCGGCAACGAAAGACATCCTGAAATCGGATCAGGATCTGGAATCGAGCGAGTCGGAGGACGGAAAGAAAAGCCAGCGTGGGAAGAGGCTTGAAAGGGCAGCTGCGAAGGAGCAAGAGATGGCGCTTTTGCACCCTCGAGTGCAAATGCAGGGTAGCAAAGTCCCCATGGTCGTCGACGACATGCCCGCGCAACATTGGATAGCCATGGGTAGTATGGCTCAAGAGCACGCCGTGCCTATCCTCCTTGAGATGGAGAAGAAGTTCCAGCTTGTCAAGCAAGTCGCGTACGTCTGCAAGGCCTTCGCAGTGGGGGTGGGTTGTGCTGACTTCAAGGAGGCCGAGAAACAGTATCCTCTCCACACGAAGAAAGACATATTGGAGAAGTTCGTCAGTGGCGTTAGGAGGGGTCAGAAGAGTATCCCCGCACTGGATGGCCATCTTAAAAGGGCTTTGGATTGGAAGAGTAAGGAGAGGAGACTGGAAGCAAAGGAGGCTCTTCACGCGTTCCGATCGACACCTCTCACGGAGCCCTTCGTCGACTGGACGGAGGTGAAACATGAGAATGACGCGGCGAAAGTGAAGATTATCAACAACGACATACGCACGAGGGACATGCGTCTGATCATGAGCTGTTTCCGGAGCCGGACGTTCTGGAGGTTCTTAAGAATCTGAAGGACGTGTCTAGTGCCCCCTTGTGGACAGTTGCGGGATTCTGCTCAGTGGACATGCTTCCTTCCATTCGCTCCGCGCTCCGCGTTCAGAGAAGTTTGCAATGCACGGTAGGAGCTTTTGACGTGGTGCAATCCCAATGTGATGAATCCCGGTGGGCCTCGACTTGTGAGTGCGACGGAATTCTGTGTGCTGGGCTACTACAGCCAGACTGGGCAGCGCGAGATGGCGCACTGCAACTTTGATCCTACGGATCCGCGTCAATACTTCCAGCTCTTTAATGTTGTGACGCAGAAGTACCAGCACCCTAGCGGCAGTGTCCTCTGCCCGTACCAAAAGCCGTACAGTTTGTACTCCTGGCTTGTGAAAAAATTTTCTCCTGCGGGGGCCTGCATTCTGGACGGTTTCTCCGGCTCTGGCACAGGCACCATTCCGTGTGTCAAGGCGAATCAGAATTGCCTCGTGGTGGAGATAAACACAAAGTGCGCGAAGGGCATCGCGATGAGGCTTCTGACAGACATCGATGACACACTCGCATGTGAAACGCCGAAGAGGAAACAGAAGGCATCGCAAGGCAGCCCGGCCTCGAACCT